TCCTGTAACTCTGGTCTCATGATTGACAATCTGTGCTGGATTTGTGTCTTCCTGACAGATGTACACATTTGTAATACCCATTTGTAATGGAACACTGAGATGGTTAAGTGAGGCAAAGTATTAAAAAATAATTCATGTTTGCATAAATACGTCAAAATATACCCTAGTGTCATGTATAACTAAAAAGAACAAAAAATAAATAAATGCACTTCAACAACAGCATATTAATAATCATAATAAAGAACAGTTATTATTTTGGCTAGATCTGAAAAAAAGAAGTCAGACTTGTATTTTAGACATGAATTAGAATACAATTTTTAAAAAATTATCTATAGTTTGTGAGGAAATTATCTATACATAAAACCCACACTGTATTAGACATTGGTCAGAATTTCCTGGAGAACTCTTAGATCTCTGAGTTGGATGACCAGGCAGAAATACAAATTTAGAGACAGTAAACAAAGAATAAAAAGAGGGTATTCCATTTTGCACATATTAAGGTTAAAACCTTTTAGGTTGACCAGATATAAAAGTAGCGATTATAATAGACAACTTTATAATTGTTTGGGAGTTTAGTAGAAAAATCTGGGGTAAAAAATACTTGTAACTCTTTAGCAGAAGGTGTTAATTAAAGCCACTGTGTGAATGTGAGACCAGGTTAAAAGACTCTATTCAGAGATATGTCATACATTCTTTTTGAGAACTGTAGTATGTTTAAGACTGATAGCAGATCATAAAGGAGGTTTAAACAATGTAATGTATTTAATACAGTCTGGAGTACCGAACTTTCTAGTTTTAGATTAGATCTTCCACTACAATTCCAGAACAAATAACTTCATCTTGATCCTTCTGGGCTTCAAGAAAAAAAAAATTCTTTCTTGGTACTCATTATGACTTGGATATTCTTTTATTTATTTATTTATTTTAGATTTTTCTTTGTTTTTTAATTTTTATTTTTTTATTTGTTTTAATTAGTTACACATGAAACAGATATTATTGTTACTGTGTGTATATATGTGAATGCATGACCAGTGTGATTCTGCAACCTATATACTCAGAAAAATGAGATATTATATCCCATCTGATTCAAATGTATAATATCTCATGGTCATTGTACTGTCATGGCTATTCCATTAAGCAATTTAAAAGTGCTAACTCATTCAATCTTTATAAAATTCCAAGAGATAGGTACTATAATTACAAAAATTATACTCTTAAGGAACCTAAGTTACAAAAATATGATGTAATTTTTCCTCAGTGAAACATGTACCACACAGAATATGGAAAATAAAAATATTTGCACACTGTGTATCTGATTAGAGACTTACATCCAGACTATCTTAAAAAAGACACTTTCAGGTCAATATCATAAACCAAATGATCCAAATATAAAATGTTAATCATCAAAAGGTAGAAACAACCCAAAAATCCATGAACTAACAAATAGATAAAATAAAGCAATGAAGTATGATTCAGTCACAAAAATAAATAAAGTGCTAATGCATGCTAAAATTCAGATGAATATTGAAGACATTATGCTAAGTGAAAAAAGCCAGTCTCAAAGGCTACATATATGTATGGTCCCATTCATATGAAAAATCAGGAGTTAAGGAGTTGAGATGAAAAGTAGATCAATATCTGCATAGAGGCTGGGGAAAAAGGGAAGAAAGTAGATCTTAAGGTGGTTTCTTTTGAGGTAATAAAAATGTTCTAAAATTGTCTATGGTAATTATTTGACATATCTGTGAATATACTAAAATTCATTGAATTATACAATTTAAATGCATAAATTGTATTTGAGTATTCATTTAATAAAGCTATTAAAATATGCAAATTTAAAAAAATTGAAATATGGCCAATTTAGATATGCTTTTGCAGCTACTGACAAAGAAAGGAAATAAGATAAATACAAAGAAATATTACAGAATTACAAATGTGATTACATGAACACTCTCTGTGAAATACAAACTGATATCTTTCTGTTGCTCACTTTACAGGACGAAGTTCAGATATTTTATTATTGCAACCACTTTCTCACACATCATTGTCTATTGCCAGATAAATGTGAGTTTTGTTTTAAGTAACCGTCCAGCCACCACACTGTCCCTGTTTTCCAGTGTTGAGACATGGTCTTGCCAGTGGTTGATTCAGAAAAGTCAGGCCTAAACCAATGGCTGCACACAGTCTCATAGTTATTGGGTTAACAGAGAAAAAGATATCAAATATAGTCTGGGGTTGAGACACACAGGGGAATTTTATTGGGGATTCACGGGGGTCAAGAGTCTTTCTTTATCTTTATAGAAAGTTGCTTGAAGAGCCTGTAGAATATTGTACTTGGAACACAGTAATTTAAAAAAAAAAGAAAACATAAAGGGAAGCAAGGTCTACAAATTATTTTAATCATTTACACCAATATGAGCTCAATTTTTCTTTACAATCAACTAGAAGCAAAAATTGAGTCCCAATTTATTGTTCTATCCTCTGGCTCTCTTCTACCATTAACCTCTACTTCTACTCTGCTTAATGGTATACTACTCTTGACAAATTCTCCTTGAAATGCTCTGGGCCCTAGCAAATCCAGCTTCTACATTCCTCATTTCCCAGGTAGAAAAAATTTCCCTAAGGGAGGATCTAAAAATGTTAATGGGATCATTTTGATCAAGTCTTCTTCTGTTATCACTCTGTAATTAAAAGTAAACTTTTAAATTTTTTCTTGATGCATCAATGAATATTCTTCTGACCTCCAGTCTGCCTCTAGAGAGTAGCAAACAACACAAGAACAAAAAGCCATTTTGTAAATCAATATTATAGAATAGTATCTAATAATTTGTAGGAACCAAGAAAACATTTGTTGAATTAATCAATTAATAACTATAAGTAAAATGAATAGAACCAAAACTCAAATTGTTATTTTTGGGTACTCTTTCCAAACAAAGTATCTTAAATTAGACAAGAGTTATAATCCTATTGACCTATTGGTTTTAAAAATGAAGATTATAAAATTTGTTACATTTTCAATAAATGAATATGATGATGTAATATAGCTATCCAAAGAGTAGTCCATATGTCACTGTTCTGAATTTCCATCATAACTTAAAGGGAAACTTTCAAAATGTTCAGATCCCTGGATGTCCTAGAAATGAAGGAGGACATCCTCAAATTTTTTGGAGCAAAAAACAACTTAGTTGGCACAAATCTTGATTTCCAGATGGAATAGTACATCTACAAAATGTAAAGTGATGGTATCTACATCATGAATCTGAAGAGGACTGGGAGAAATTTCTATTGACAGCTTGTACCATTGTATCCATTGAAACCCCTACCTTCATTGGTGTCATATCCTCTAGGAATTCCAATCCAGTGTGCTGAAGCTTGATGCTGCACTAGAACCATTCTTTTTGCTGGCTACTTTACTCCCAGAAACTTCACCAGACTCTCACCAAGGAGTCTCATGTTAACATGCCTAACATTGCTGTGTGTATTGCAGATTCTCCTCTGCACTGTGTGGACATTGTCATCCCATGCAACAAAATGGGAGCTCTCTCAGTAGGTCTGATATGATATCTATTGACCCCAGAAGTTTTTTGCAGCCATGATATCATCTTCTGTGAATAATCACAAGAGGTTATGCCTGATCTCTTCTTGTACAGAAATCTTGAAGAAATTGGAAAGGAAAAGCAGAACATTGCTGAGAAAGCTGCAACCATGAAGGAATTTCAGGGTGAATGGGCTGCCCCAGCCCTGAGTTCATTTCTATCAATCTGAAGTTGCAGACTGATTTGTGGGTGAGTAGGTACACTCTGTGCCTTGTTAGTAGTTCCCCTCTCATAACCAGAGCAACAAGCCCATCACTGATGACATCTGAAATTCCTACAGTTCAGGCCATTGAATGGGCAAGAACAACCACTGAGTAGTCTAAAGTAGTTTTTCAACAGGCTCTAAATGGAAATAAGTTTGAAGAAAATTACATCCACTTCAGAAAAAGTAAAGAATATAGAAGAAATTCATAGCTGTGTATCATATCTTGAAATAGAAGATACGTTTGTTTAAAATTCAGCCATAAAACACTAACTGTATGCTGAAAAAGAGAAATTAAACTGATAATCTTGATAACAGCAAGTTCATGTATGTTTATAGTTTAATCGCTTCATTATGATGGAAGAACCAAAAATCTATCTAAATCAATCTATGCTGAGAAACAAAAATTTAATATTGATACCCTTAAGAACAGTAATTATTTATTTTGCTTTGTCCAGGATACTCAATCTGTATTTTAATAGAACTCAACCAATGTTTCCAGAGAAGATCTTAATCAGCAAAGTTAGTTAATTATAGATTAATATATTGTATGGAATAGTAAAGGAAACAGAGCTTCAGCATCTTTAATATGTTCAAATTTTTCACTTGTTTGTAAGAGGAACTTAAAATATATATGTCCATAAAAACATAAAAATTCACCATATGAACACCTTAGTACACCATATGAACACCTTAGTTAATACACTAGTACTTGCAAGACAAATCTGGCCTGCCACTTCATTTCATACTTTTCACAACTTACTAAATTTTGTAAATTTAAATGACTGAAAATCAAATAAGTATAATGTTTTGACACATGAAAATTAAAAACTGTATTAGGACACAACCTTATTCATTCTTAGGCAGTATCTATGAGATCTTTCAGCAGAATTGAGCAAGTTGACAGATTGTATATGAAAGAAAGATCAAGGCTTGCCATTGGAGAAAACGCCCATTTATTGAGGAACAGCTCTGCATATTTATAGAGCTGGGGGTGGTTTGACAGTTATGACAGTTTAATAGTTGAATGTTTTGACAATTGGCTGGGGTGCTTTCTGATTGGTGGGTAAGAACCATGTGAGCCAGCAGGGCTACTCTGATTGGTGGGTAAGGATCATGTGAGCCAGCAGGGCTCACCATTGGACGGCAGGATCCTGTGAGCCAGCAGGACTCACCATTGGATGACACTTCTTGGGGGATGGGGAAGTTAGTCTTTGGAACTGGGGCAACTCCCAACATTCCCCTCTCTTTGTTATTAAATGAGAGTGGGCATAGACTCATTCTGGCTGCTTCCTGCTGAGATGGGTTGGTGTGAGAGAATGAGAGGAGGGAAGTAAAGATCCCCCACAGGAGGGCAGAGAAGACCTGTATCAATGAAGGTTCCTTGCCACCACAGATCCATGATGATGTCAGTCCATTTGGCATAGGTCTCGACTGGAGGTATCATCAGTAGCCAGGAGTTGGTAATTCCTGAGGAGAAGGTGGTTAAAAGCTTGATTTGAAATTTTACCCACCTGAGTCTGAATGAACTTAGTATGGTTGAAAGGACTAATCGGTCCCTTAAAGAGACCTTTACCAAGTTCACCATGGAATTAAGCCTGGACTGGGTAAAGGTGCTCCCCTTGGCTTTATTGCATATTAGGGCCCTTCCAAAAAAGCCTTCTAATCTCTCACCTTTCAGAGTCATGTATGGCTGTCCCCTCGTTCCTCCTGGATTGCCTACAGAACCCCTACCCATCTCCAAAACCTATGCCCTGCCCCTCCTCTTCCATCTATGCTCTGAACTCTGGCACTATCAAGACTGGCTCCTTCCTGACCCCAGTCACTGTCAAAACCCTATCTCCTTAACACCTGGTCAACTTGTTTACTATTGCCCACCGGGGGGGAAAAGCTCCCTCTAAAGCCTTGATCATTCTTTCAGTACACACAACAAAACCAAGAATATTTACCATCTATTTCTTTCCAGTAACACATCCTGTATCCTACATTAGATAAATATTAATTATAAGCTACAATTTCCAAAGAATTTATTTAGTCTGAGAATTACTGTATTTTGGTGACAAAATTATTCAGGTTGATATCTTAGAAAAATTAGATAACTCATTGGGAGATACATAGATAGCTTTGGGAAGAAACTATTGTTCTTAGGGTATACAGGTAATATGGTTTTGGAATCAGTAACTTAGGCACTCCTTTATTCAACATTAGGGGAGAAAGTGAGAGGGTTGAATGGCAGGAATTTTTTAGACTGCAAGACTAAGTAATGGATGCAGTTTACAGACCCCTTTCCATCACCCCTTTTCATTACCCCTTTTCCAAGAATCAAGATTGAAATTTCAGACTTTACTTAAACAGAACAAAGTTCTTATGTTTTGTTTGGGGGGGAAACCTAGGGTACCAAAATAATGATATACTTACTAATCATCTAACAATCCTGTTTTAAGCCACCTGGTGAACAGATATTTTGCTGTATTGTTACACTATTGAAAAGGGATGGAAATGAGTAAGGAGATTCTTAACACGACAGGTAAGCTGTTCACCTATAGATTCCTTAATGATGTGCTCATTCTTTCCATTTAAATGGTGTCACCCTTCAGAGCTTATAGATGATGCTTTTATTTTTAACTCTTCAGGTCTATGGCTTTGGTTGATTTCTATAATAAGAGGTTCTAAGTACAATAATGAGGACTCATTCTTAAATTCTATGGTATTAGATAGCGACTAGCAAGAGACAGGAATCCATTATGCCTGAAATACACTTATTCAAGACAGGCTCTGAATTTGTAAAAGTCAAGTTCAAGGTAGTTCATTTTCACCATCATTGATTTTCACTGAAGGCAGACTGTTTCCAACTCATTGATTTTGATGTTGATTGAGTCATGTTCATCTCCTTGGTCAGTATTTGGAGCTTGTTCTTTTTTGATGGGTTAATTTGCCTAGGATCACTGATCATTTGCCTGATCCAGAGCTACCATTATTTAATACCGTCTCAGGCCACATATTAAGAAACTTAAAAAGGTATTTAATTGAATAGAATTTAATTTCCTAAAGAATTTGCATAATTCCAAATAACTGTTTATTTACCTTTAATAACAAAATTTGAATCAATTGAACAAAGGGGCATTGCAAGGCTGTATGTAATATACATCTATAACCTACTTTATTATTCATATAAAAGCAGGAACTTTGTAGGCAAGGTGAATTCCACAAAACTCTAATTTACAAAAGTCACAAAATTATTATCGATCATTCATGCCTTAAAAAGGAAAGCATATTCTAAACCCAGATACAATACTCAGTATGCAAATACATCTCCAAATCTGAAATCATGCTTCCACTATGGTCCAGTTATTATCACCTTTCTCTACATACTGCATATATAACCCATCAAATAGATTCAGTGTAAACAGAACTGTGAATATTAACATGCGGCCCACAGGAGAGCATCTGGTTTATATCTGAGATAATAATTATCTTTTTCTGACACATTTATGAGATTTCCTTTCATTAATTTTTATTTCAGAAGTTTTCATTGTTCTGGTATTCTGGTTATAGAACAAACACCTGCTTTTTATAATTCTTAGCTGAGTCCTTTTAAGATTTTATATTTAAAAGATCTGACAATTCTATATAAGATTTTTGATCCTTTGTTATTCCTACAGAAATTTTTCCATCTATTTTCCCTTTGTTTTAGCTCTTTTTTAAAAATATAAATCTGTAAGTGGTTTGGAATGTTTGTTAAATAAAGAATTTGGTTTTGTTCTTCACAATATATCTCCTAGTTTGCTTTTGTCCCATAACGTGCAAATGGCTTAATTTTCCTATAAAAAATATTTCTGAAATCTCTTTTCCAGGTAATGTCATTTGCAATCAAACCCATAGTGCTCTAGTTTACGCTATTATCAAGTGGCTCCTACCACTGGAAACATACACTAGACATTATTTTTAGTAGGAGCATAGTTTACCATCTACTTTATATGGCAGAAGTAAAATCTGAAATGTCAAACTAATTTTGTGGTTGAAAAAAAGATGGATTAGCCAACAGACTCCTAGAACCTACATAGTCTCTAATGTGATATTAGGTGTTCAGTGAAACATTATATTTCTGAAACACTTGGAAATGCATTTCCATTATTCCAATATTATACTTAATCTAGGAAGCAACTACTTTCATTGTGTCATTTCCTTTATATATTGAAAATTTTTATGTGTATATCTGCTATGTATATACTTTGATTATTATTGGTACATCCAAGGAAGTGTTGCATCTTTAATTTAACGGAACTTAGAATCTATTTATGTAGAGGAATATGGGCAAATAGAAAAATATAGCTACAAAATATATCATAGAGATACATACAGTTAATTGCCAGGTAAGAATATTAGGCTATTAATATTAAAAGAGATGAGGTCAGTGAAGGCAGTGTGTATGGTATATGCCATAAAAATAGTATTGGATTTTCCTCTGGAAAAAAAGTGAAAACTATTGAATGATTGTAAATAAGTATGTGCCATGATATCACTTGCTCTTAAAAATAATAGTCAGCATTTCAGTTAAGGTAAATGGATTTGTTTAAGAGTTAATAAAAGAATACATACAAAAATTTGTAGTGTGTGTGTGTGTGTGTGTGTGTGTGTGTGTGTGTGTGTATGTATGTATGTAGAATGGATTTCTGCATACCTGAGAAACACAGAAGTGCCGGGGAGCGGCTGCAGCAGAATAACCGGGGGGTGACGAATAACTTGTGTACATTGATGCAGCAGGAATGGAAGCCGTTTATTGTAGGACAACAGAGCTATTTATACATTTTGCACAGCTTATCTTAATTAGCATAAACTAGATACATCAGTCAACCAATAAGGATTTTCCACACTTAATGGCTCACTTTTGTTACTTCTCAAACCACTCCCTCTGGCATTTTGCCAGGCACCATCCAGACTTGTTTACGAACTCTAACAAAATTTCTCTGGCAAAATACCACCTGTTATTTTGACTTGTCTACAGACCTTAACACAGAAGCATGATACAGAAAATCAGAAAAATTAACAGAGAATCATTAAGATAGTATATATCAAAATTTAGAAGTGTTTCAAAAAGCCCAGTGCTATGTAGAAAATTAATATGAACATATACTGAAGGAGAGTCAGGTCTTCAAAAAAAGAGGGCAGTTATTTGTGGTTATGCACATCTTCAAAATATAGTAAATGATCATTAAAAGTTGACCAGTTAAAATGAATTACCTCTGGAAATATGACAATAATGTACCCCTGTAATATTTTTTACAGATAAAATTTTCTTTTCAGTTTTATTTTATTTTGGTTTGTTTTTTTAAAATTTTTTCCACTATTTTAAATGTTTTAGCATTTTTAAAAAATTTGCTATGACATATACTTTATCCTCCCATCATTTCCAATATTACACAATAATAAATTATGTAAAGACTTTTAAAGAATATTATTTTATGCTCTTGTTTGCAAATTTGACTCTGCCAAAGTACATTATTACAACACTGACTTTTGTGTTTTAAGTATCTGTGTTACTCAAATTTTCTTCACTGTGAGTATGAGACCTGATAAAGAACAACTTAAAGAAGGTAGTTTATTTTGGTTTAGTTTCAGAGGTTTAGTCCATAGTCTGCCACCTCTATACCTCTACATTTGTAAGACAAAACATCATGGAAGGTGCAGCAGGAAAGAAATCTGCTTAGTACCTGACAGTCAGGAAGCAGAGAGAGATCTGCTTGCCGGTGACAAAATGAAAACACCCAAGACACATCCCCAGTGACTTACTGCATCCTACCAGGTTCTATCTTCTTACAGATACCACTCATTAATCCATTCAAATTATTAATCCATCAAATGGATAAATCCACTGTTAAGGAGGATTTGATAGTTTATTTAATATGATTACATTTGTGAACTAATCATTGTGCTTCTGAATACTCTTGTGTTGTTTCACACAAGAGCTTTCAGGGGACACTTTGTATATAAACTACAACAGCATTGTACAGTTATGTAAAAACACTGAAACTTTCTCAACAAATAAGGAGATATCATATCATAAATTTGCATTTGTGACGGACAAAATTTTGAGATTATGGCTCTTTGGACAACTGCTTATGTGGAAGTGATCCATTGTCATCTTTGACATATGTTGGCAAAAACCTTAGATTCCTTGTTATAGTATTTAAATGACACTGGTTATAAAGCTGTGTACGCATACTCACCAACCATAGTGATATGTGTTTATATATTGTATATTTTGACTTATTTTGTTATAAGAAGTTTAGCTCATAATTCTTAACTCATGTGAATTGAATGTCTTAAATATGCCTGAATCTGTATGTTATTGCCTATTTTATTGTGTAAAATAACCTCTGATGTCTTTTGTTTCTCAAATAAATTACATTTTAAAAATATAAGCAAGTATCTTTTAGAGAACTTTCAAAATTATTTCTTTCAGAATTATATTTTTTGCATTTTGATCTTTCATGATTTTAGGCATTAGACATTTTTATCTTTCTAGATTTCAACATTTGGGATTATGGCATCTGAGAATGTGTCATTTAGGGATTATGGCTAAAATCCAAAAAGTATAATATAATACAACTAAGAACTCTCTATATAAGACATGAGTTTCTCCCCTTAAGTCTGATAGTGTATACCTAAGAAACTATCTCCCACAGTCTACCTTATCTATAAATATTAACTCCATTCTTACATTGTTCATGCAGATTATCAATCTTAACTTCTTTCTTTTTCTCCAAATACATTCATGAGCATATTTTGTGGGTTTTATACTCAGGTTACAGAAAAATGTGACCATTTCCCAACACTTCTACCTTCAACACCTCAGTTAAACTCAAGACACCTTTGTACTAGAGTATCCACTCAGTAAAAATCTTATATTTCCTTAAAGTTTATGATAGCTTAAAACAACCCATTATGTTCAGCTCACTCAGTATAAAAAATATATATCTACCTCCAGACACTGAGCCTTAGAGAATTTGATTCTTTCCAAATACTATTCAATTTGTTTTATCCTTTTCTTCATACTTATATTAAAATATTAATATTAAAAGAGTTCTTCACTAGCTATTGAATAGATAAATAAATGAAGTCTTTGTGTGCATATATACATGTGCTATATATATACATATGTATATATATAGTGTTAAATAATTTTTTAAATGTAAAATAAGATAAAACATAATATATAGTGTTGAAGTCCTGTTTGCATTTTTAAATTTAAATTTTAGTTCCTTATTTTATTTCTACTGTTATAACTTTAATATTTAAAATAAAACATAGAAAGAGTAATGCTGCATGGCAAAAGTATTTATTAGAGTTTTACTTTGTCTCTTCACACTTAAAATATAATCAGAAGAAGTATAGAAATATGAGCTACCTGTAAAGTGAAGAAGTTTCTCTAAAAGATTATCATCACCAGTGGAATTGTTATCTTAACAATGTTCTACTGAGTGTACTGCCCTCCTCAAATGGGACCTAGATTCTGTTTTTGCTCTTAATGCACTACCATCCATACCCATGATGTTAGAAGTAATTTCATTCTGTCTATGGATATTCAACATTCCTGTTTCACAGAATGAATGATTGGGTGATAGGCTCTCTGAAAAACTGAACATCAGCTTTCTTCCAGAGAGGCAGCCATAAACATCAGTATTATTTTCAACTCTTGTTTCATCTTGCCAAGTTGGTCTTCGACATACTCTTAAATTATAAATTTTTAATAAGCATATTTCCACTTCAGTTAAAAAGTAAAATAATATTAGAATGGTTATAAAGAAAAGAAAGGAATCATAATAAGTATATTAAGAGTTTCATGAAAAATATATTTTTAAAATAGAGTTACATATTTTATAATATGACCTGAATTTATAAGATATACTCTCTTTAATTATAATAATAATAAAAATAATACCAATAAAGACTCCATTCTGGAAATCTTTTCCACAAGAAAATGTATATCATTCTAAAGTAGAGTATAATGAGTAACATTTCTGAGATAAGGAGTGAAAAGAAGGAAAGGAAGTAAGCAAAGTAAAGAAAAAGTAAAAAATAAGTTAAACAAATGATAATAACAAGTACTTCAGAACTATAGTATTTGATATCAAAAGACAATAAAGTGTTTAGGATGGAATATGTAGCCCACAAAATATAAAACCAAGCTAAATAATACTTTTAAATAGACGAATGTAATTTTGAAAGTTTTCCAGATCTCTATTAGTTCAAAAAATGAATTGCATTTTCATCTTTTCATTAAAATATTAGCTATAAATTTTAATATCAAAGACACTAAAATTTAGTATGAGTTTTGATGTATTCACATTATCAATATAATGAAGACAATCATTAAAATCAGCTAAAGAAGTAGAAACTAATGGTCTATGTGAAGACTTAATTATACTGAATTGGAAACACATAAGCATCTATCAATTTGTAATACAAGAAAGTCTGACTCTACTAACTGGATTGCACGTACAACAGAATTCTTAATTTGGTTCATTCTTCATTCATTCCTCATCTATTTTTTTTTAATCAGTGTTAGAGTTCAAACCCAGTGCCATGCTCATGCTAGGCAAATGCTCTACTACTGAGCTACAGCCCCAGAAGCAATTTTTAAGTTGGATCAATAACACTTTACATAGATTCCTGACTAACCAGACAATAGGGATAATAAGCAAATGTAATATTCAATTAATATTTGTTCAACAAAATAGAATGTAAAGTTTTTAATGTAGAATTGCATTGAAATTAACATTTGTTTAAAACTGTGTTTTCTTAGGTAATTTGCATAACATTTCAAGTAATTTGCAGAGGAACTCTGCAAGGAAGTTAAACATTAACTGTATTGTTTCCATTTAAAGATGAGAAGACACAGAACATAATATATTCAAAGTTAGTGAGCTTATAAATGGAGAGCGAGGATATGAAAATATAGAGATATTTTGAAGACCCTTGATCCTCTTTTAACACTGGAAATCACTGTAGTGTGTCAGCTTGAAAATTGTGTGTAGTAGATAGTAGTCAGAAAAACTTCTGTAAGGGGATAATTTATATTGAATACTGCAAGTATAAAGGACATGAAACAACTCTGTTATTCCCATCCTAAAGGGCTCAACAGTGCTACAGGTATGCAAGCAATTTACTGGAGAAATCCAGAGTGTCCCTGAATACACATAGTGCACATTCTGGGGACCTGTATAGAGGACTCTAGCAATTCTGAATGACTAATTTTAATCAGATCCCTTTTCATTCCATTTGTTTTAATGTCAACCTTTCACTTCCTGAGGAATTCCCATTGTACAAATGCACACACAAATGCATACAAAACCATTGAAAGACATTTGAAATGTTTTCCTGGAAGTTTGGAAAAAGGTGTTGCTATGGGCCTTCGGGTTCCCTTCTGACTATGTGCACTGACTTTTTTTTTTTTTTTCATATTTCCAACATCTGGCTTAACTGGAAAAGAAAAGTTGAAATGACAGACTATCTTGGGGACCAGAGAGGGTCTGAATTTAGTAGGTTTTTATTTCTACCTAGAAAATATGTTCGCTTTTTCTGAAGCTTTTCCAAAATTCGAACAAATGATAGTCACATATACTGTAATATAGAGTATTTGTGTTTTATGTTTGCATTTATAATTAATCTCAAAACACATGGAAGTGAACATACATATGGTGCCTAATTTCTCCTTATCTGAAAGGATTCACACTACCATCTGCAGAGACCAGGGCAAGGGGAATCTTCCTCTAATTCTTTTATTTTCTCTCTTTTCACTCTTACAACTGTTGCACTGAAAATATAAACAGGAGATGCTCACTCTGATAGAGCTCATCACATCTGCTAAATCTACTCCTATAGGTCACACCCATACCTTATTTAGTCCTTGTCATTAATCAGTCCAAATGCCTTGCTTGCATTCATAGGATAAACATATACAAAATAAAAGAATAAATGTCACCACTACTCCAAATGAGGATCTATCCCCTGTAAAGCTATCTCCTGAATATCTCTTCCACTTAAAACAACTAATCTAGAGTTCTCATATAATCGTATATTCTTCATTATAGACTCTGAGGCCATAAAAAGGCCCTAAAGAGTCACTTGATTCTATTGTTACATTCATTCACACAAGAAAGTGGAGAATTTTCTCTCTAACTTAGCTTCATACTACAATTGACTGGTAGCTTTCTCCTGAATGTATGTCATGTATTAATATACACATGCATTTACTAACTATGCAAATGGGTGCAATAAAAATAATTTCCTGCTTTGCACAAGTAAGCAAGAATTATTATCCAGAAACTGGATGGAGTGAAAGAAATAATAATGATAGGATGTTCAAATGAACCAAAATAAAAAAATATTTTGTGTCTGTTTCTTTGTATTTTTTCTGGTATTTTCTTCTTCAATTCACCAAAATGAATCCAAGAACACAAAAGTATTTTTGCTTTTTACCAGAAATAAAGTAAGCTCTATATGACACTAGACTCTTCATTTCTGAAAAGAAATACCTAGATTTTTGAGAAAAAATATTTTCTTCTAATAAACTTTTTGTTCATGCTTAAACCAGAATTCTAAAAAAATCAAACATCCCAGTTTACAATGCATTCCCAGTACCAATAATACATTTGGAGAATTTGAGAGGTTCTGCTGAATATTTCTTTCAAAAAATAGTGAGATCATTTATTTCAGTAATTAATTAGATAAATATTTGTATCTGCATCTGTGTGTATATGTATGTGTGTGTGTGAGTGTATGTGTCTATGTCTGTTTGTGTAACGAAGAGCAAGAGAGAAAAGAAAATGGAGAGAGTGTGGGGAGAAAACTGGTGTCATTTTTTCTTAATATACTTGAATTTTAAATATGTTGTCAAGTTAAATCAGGAACATTAACATTAGAAGAGAAATTCAATTTATTATTGATAATTTTTCATTGGCTTGTTTTACTTCTTGTGCTATTATAGATGTATTAAATAAAGAATGAAGGCTTCATATTTCCACCAATGCTTTTTTACAGGCATAATGCTAGTTTTCATTCTGCAAAAAAAGACCCAGGACTGCTGTGTTACAATAGCACCACATGGTAACCAATGCCCCGTGAACAAACTCAGTCTTTGGAATATGAGCCAAGTTCTAGGTCAATGATCTCCTACTGCTTTATTCTGATCTTCCTGGTACTGATTTCATTTCTAACTGGGAAAACGTCATTCAACAACAACAACAAAGTCTTTGCCTTGAGGATTTAACCCAGATGAACCCAGTTCCACATGTCTTCAACAGAGTGATAAAACCCTTGATCTTTTGTTATTTAAAGTCTGATGTTCACATAACTTCAGATTATTTTATATTATATATGTGTTAATTGATTCTTGTATAAGAACACATAAATTAAAGTCATGGTGATGAAAAAGCATTTTAAATAGATGATAAAATGAAGTTTTCAATATACATTCACATAAGACAAGAAATAAGAAATGAAAATGGAAAACTCCAGTACATAAAGTCCTAAGAATAAAATACTATCTTGAAACATTAACTATAGAGATAATAACATATGCACACAAGAAAAGTTGCAAAGATATGATAAAATAAATCTACAATTATGCCTGCTTATCATTATGTCAAGTTAACTATAGTCTAAATATTATTCTGTCTGCATTTAAATGAGTTGAATATCTAGAAGATTTGTCCCATATAAGTTTATTTCTCCTATTTCTGTTAAACTAAAATATTGAAAAGTGCCATGTATGTGTACATTGGTAAGAGGAAATTTTTTTTGGTCTTTATATCAGAAAACTAATTTGAGGAAGAAAAAAATACTGGTAATGAAGGAAATTTATTTGTGTACCCAATTTTCAGTGTTTATTTTTCATCAGAAAACTTAATTGATGTTATGTTTCATTTATTGATTTCATATGAAAAATTAGATGCCTTTAATTCCATCAAAAATGAATGCCAGAAAGTTTTAGATAATACGCTTCTTTTCATACATTGTAAAGGACAATGGAAATGTAATGCTATTTTATATAGGACACACTGAAAATATGCCTCAAAATTATTCTTCGTACTAGTCATTGGGTGCAAATATAATTTCAAAAGTAACTGTTAATTAGAAGTAACTAAAAGTATTTATTTAAAGAATAGGTAAAATCAAAGCAGTTGTTCCTTTTTAAAATAAAGATCCATGTTGGGAAAAGAAGGATATGTGAGAACAGTAATTTTTATTGGAGAGTTCATAAATATTTAGGACATTTGCAGTTTCTCTGCTTTATTTTCCCTGCTCTGATTAAAATATTAATGAGATTTGGCACTTGCAGATGGTTTTGTTGTTTACTAAATGCATCACATTGAATATCAGATGTGGATATGCCAAACACTTTTGGATATATCCCTTGCTATTTCAAAAATGAGGAAAAGGAAGCCATATAGTCAGTAGGTAATGGATAGCAGGATGTTCCAAACACCACATCACATGTTCTCTGAATGATATTACTTTACATCCTGCATTGTATTGCAGTTTTGCTCATAGACAATACACAGAGGTAAGCAATATCATAATTATTGTTCCAATTTTAAAGGAATTTCAAGTGATAATAATGAAGTGAAAATAAGATAGTGACAGGATTTATGTGCAATATGTTTCCCAGAATATATATTTTTAAATATCAGAAAGGCTAACAAACTATTATGCATAATATATTTTTGTGATAACTAGAAGAGGTAACATAGAGTAGGTCTAAAGTCTGGAAGATTAGTGTATGACCTTTTCAGAACAGATGTGTTCTTTATGTTTGGGGATTATTATAGCAACAATTGTAATATTGGGCAAACATTGTTGAAAACACCTCTTTTTAGTTACTTTACTTCTTATGTACTGACAACTACTAATAATTTTTTCCATTAAAATTTGAAAGAGAAAATGGAGCACAGTCTTATATATTTTAATCAGAAATGGTTTGGAAGTTTTCAAAGAGTAAGATAAGTGCTAGGAATCCACTTTGGCAATCAATCCCCATGGCGAGATGACTAGAAGAAGAATAGAAAAGCTGGACTACATCAAGATTGAATTTGCAGCTGATAATGTACTTGCAGTCCTGTCCTATTTTAGAGAAACTTCTTGACTGAAAAGCAAATGTGGAAATCTGCTCAAGGTTAGGAGATTTCAATCTAAATTCTCTTGAAAAACTACAACATGTTTTACCAACTTTTTAGTGGAATTTCCATTCTGAAGTTGAATTTGCTCAAAAGTTTGGAATTTTGAGACTAAATATGGAAAAACACACTGTAAAAAGTAAAGAACAAAATAAAGAAAGAAAATTGTATCAACAAAAATCATACCTTCACAATAAGTGTTTCTTTGGGTTCTGATTTTACACATACAACCATTAAGTAACCAAATATAAATTAACCATTTTAAGGCATATTTTGCAAATGAATGATCTTCTTTCAGATAATAATGTAATCAAAACTGTTCAAACTGGTTTTCACAAAACTCAGAAATTTTGATCCAGTATCAAGAGCAATGAACTAGCATCCACAATTCAGTGGTTTCCAACATATTCACATTTGGAGAAAATACTCCATTTTATATGTATGCCAAATTTTCATTACCTATACATCTTTTGACAAACACCTACGTGGTTCCATAACTTGACTATTGTGAATTGTGCTACTGGAAACACTGGTATACATGTATCACTATAATATGCTGATTTAGATACTTT